CTGTACTATTGCCACTGCCATTTTTTCAGTTCTTAATTTTCAGTAGGATTGAAAAGGTATCTCCATTTACACAAATGCACAATCCAAATCTTTCCTGTGTGAATTAAACAATCATTGTGAATTACAATACTTGATTATTTACTAATTCTACAAATAGCTATATCTACATTTGAATTGAAGAGGAGTAATTTTGAAATTTTCTCCTCTGATACATTTGGCTGTCCTGAGAAGAAATAACTGTCTCTTCTCTTCATATCTCCTCATGATAAAATAAAGAGATAAAAAATATACAAAGCCAATCCATTTTCTAATGCTGTTGTTTATTAAGTGCCATGGAGTCTGTTCTGACTCATAGTGACTCTGTACAGCGTTTCTGAGGAGATGAGGGTAGATTCGAATTGCCAACCTTGTAGTTTGCAGTCCAGTGCTGATCCTACAGCACCACATCATGAATCCAGAAATCCAGAAATGAAATTCGGACTTTCTGAAGTCCTGGTGTGGTGCTGTAGGGTCAGCACTGGACTGCAAAGTGGTTTGAACTGCCACATCGACCGTTCAGTATAATTGTAGCTAAATAAATACCTAAAAATATCATACATAATGGTTTTCATGTTATTGTTAAGTACCACTGAGTCATTTCTGACTCATAGTGACCCTGTATAATTTCTGAAGCTGTAATTCCTCATGGAAGCAGAAAGCCTCAGCTTTCTCCCATTGAAGAAATTGGCATGTTCAGACTGCTGACCTTGTGGTTCACAGTCCAGTACTTATCCTACAGAGCCATCACACTCCCTAACTTTTCATGTAGCAAATGACATTTACTATGGAAAGCTTGAAGTTGAATTTTGCCTTGGATCTACGAGGGTAAGCACTGAGCTTAAAAACAGAAGGTTGGTGGTTTAAGCCCACCAGCCACTCAAAGATGAGGCTTTCTGCTCCTGCAAAGATTTTTTTTTTTAAGTTTTTGTTGTGAATTGAGTGGTAGTTTACATGGGGGAACATCAGTCATTTCATTGCAATGGTTACAATCCCTTGCATGCTTCATCATTCAACAGTATTTGCTTCTATTCACTGTTTTGTTTTGTTTTGTTTTTTCAGTATGTACATCCAAAGACTCAGGAATATACAATCATTCAAACAGCCAAAGGGCACACCCTGTGCCCCGGCCATAGCAC